GAGTTGCCTAAAAAAGTGACTAGGGTTGCGGGCGACCACCTCCTCTCTTGGTCTATTATATTTTCTGCAATATTTCTTAAAGTATGTATTGCGCTTCTGATGATGTCCGTCACGGTTGCTCAGACAAAAGTTTAGCATGGTTTGGTCGAGGCGACAGGAAGGTGAGCCGAGGACTTGTTCGCACAATCCAACAATCTTCTCTTCGCGGCCATGTTCCTTCGCTTTCCGATGAGGCCATTTCACGAATTACCTCCAACCAAATTTAACTCCAAAATGGAAGGTCAAGCCACGATAAATCACTGAGAGCCTCTCGGAAAGTCCTCTTTTCGTCATATATGCAGTGATTTTGCCACATGCCCAACTTTTGGCCTCCCCAGCGTCCTATTTATTGCAGTCTCTCACGTCGCCTACATCACTCCAGCATGCTGTCTTGATTATTGTTTCCGGCTCCCTTACTCTCTATCCTCCCGCTCATCCACTTTCATTATGAGCACAAACACACACACACACACACACACACACATACACACCGAGATTTTTGCGCCAGATCACTATAAATCTATAGTTTTCCATTCTTCCGTCGAATATTTGTTTTTCCGTCTCAGGACAGGTGTCATGATCCAAAAGCAGTCGTCGGATCATTTCAAGTCCATCAGCAAGGGCGTCTTTCCACACCGAGAGAATAGGTCCAGGCCACAATAGTACAGATAAACCTACTCAACTCATAAAGCAGGGCCATTTTTTGCCTTCAGCAGCAAATAGCAAATTTGATATTCTTTCTTTCCGAATTGCTGCCGAATTGCTTGTCACTTTGCTCCTCAGGGTTGTGCTTAATGTACCAACTTATCATCAATCCAAGTTGCTGCCCTATTTCCTTTCGGTGCCCTCAGTTGCACTGCTTTAGCCGTACTTCCCATTACTTACTTTGATGTACGTTTTTACTTGGAAACTTTACAAGCCACTTCCTTAGTTCTCATGCAGACTTAAATGTTGTCTCTGCTATTTTCATCCTGACAACTGTAACCATGAAAGTGGCCAAAATGTCGGACAGTGCCTGCGTTGTGCATCTTCGCTCTACTGTTGAGCCTGCCTCACGACAACGCACAGGACTTGGAGTCGCCGTATTCTCTACAGTACATGCATGATCTGTTGAGTGGTACATCCTCTCCTTATTGCGATCTGGTACACGGCTATCCGCCGCAAGTAATAGGGCATCTGTTCTTCAACTTTATGGTTCTTCCATTCAACCTTGCGTACGGCAAGAAAGTGACGAGCTGGTCGACTCTCAGCTGCCTCTCGACCTCCAACAGTGACAGATGCGTGCCGCAAGCAAAGCCGACATTCGTGTAGGTTTCTTCTGCCTCATTCTTCTCTCCCCATAACTGCCTCTTTCCAGTGACCAGCACTTCAACCCATTTCGGCTGCGCAAGGAAATGGCAGAGCCCCAAGTGCCCATCTACATCACCGAGGATGACGAGGTCTATCCTGTTAATCCAAGCAATGTACGAAACATGGTGTTCACCTACAAGAAGTACCGAAATCTCATAGCCAGAATGAGGCTGTGTGCAGACCAGCTGCTTTCTGGCTCTCATTACGGCAACATTTTATGTGGATACGAGGGCTTTTTAGAAATAATGAACTTCGAGAAAAAAATGCCTGAATACTCGATGTTTGTCGCACCGGATGATAGAAAATACGCAATCTCAGGTATGCCATCAGTGATTTATCTATCCCACATGAAACATATGAAGGCAATGTCTGAAGTAATGTTAAGGCATTTTTTCGGACCTTAACCATAAATACTAAATGCAGCAGAACATGTAAGTTGTCAAAGTTATTTTAATTGAGAGGTGATAAGAGGACTGTTAGGTGAATTTTTCCACATAACTTATGTTTCTACTATATTTCACATATCCTCATCCAAGCCGGAGTTGACTGTCGTTTCGACCTCGCCTGAACTGGTCTCATCAGCACCCCCAGAGGGACTCAGACCGTGGCAGTGCACGGTATACCTTTTGGGAACGTAGGGTCTAATCGTATGATTGTGGTGAAATTCACCTTAAACGAAAAACAGTGAAAACATCTCTTATATCCGAGTTATGAGTAGTCTCGAAACCCTACTTACAAACGAGGAATAAGTTGTTTTGACGTTGTATCATGAGCGAAAAGTTGCTCGGAGCAATGATTCCGCCTAACCGGTTCGTCTCTTTGGGCGTGTCAATTGCTTGTTCACGGTCCCTTTGACACGACGATCTGTACCAAAAAATGTTGGGCCTCGGAATAGAGAGCTTTCAAAGTCTATCCAACCAGAAGATGATGGAGTAATCTGCTTGGCCGGCTGCAGTCCGGCTGAAGCATTCCTGCTGACGCTTTTCTAGAGGCAATATCTTCATTTTACGATGAAAACATGCAAAGTCTTCATCCGATATATGACGGATATCATCAGAGTAGGATATCGAAGGTATGAATACCAAGATGGTGTGGTCATTTGTGTGGTCGCAATATCCTTTCGTTGTATAAAAGTTGTTTGACCTTGTTTTCGCAACTTGGTCATATTGGTAGGACGACTTCGACGAACGCACCCAGTCCGGAGTCCATTGTATGCATCATCATCTCCAGAGTAGGACCGTGGACGTGGTACATTCCCAGACGTTTCGCTAGTCTTAGCACCACACGACAACTCGTCAAAGAGACAAGTGAAGCCGATCCTTTCACCAAACGTGTCCCCTTCTGCTCTGGGTTATTCGCGTTTGCTGTATCATCTTTTCATACCTTCACTATTACAATTTTTACTGTGTTTATTTAGATATAGGGTGGTGTGATCATTTGAGCGAGATGACACCTTCACACCCCAACTGTCGTTCTCACCCCACCTTCCCATCTTTGTGCTTTATTATTATGCAGTCCTCTTTCCTAGTCTTATCCCAGTCTCTCTCTTGCTCCGTAAAATCCGT